GTCACCATGTGTACATATATGTATAAAAACCATGCCATAGATGCTTTATGTCCGATCCTTAGTGTGGCACATCGGAGAGAAGCAGAGAGAAAAAAAATGGTTTTAAAATTCAAGAGATAAATACATAAATTATTATGAGTAGACAAAATACATCATCGAAATGAAATGACGAACGAAAGACGATTGAAGCTCACAAATGTGCTGAACGTAAATAACGATTATGGACGGCTTACTCAATTTCAAACTAGTGGGCTGCACACTGTTACACATCGATGAGAGCACAAAGCTGATTGTGTGTGTGTGTGGACGCACATTGGTTCTAGACGCTTTTTATCTTCATCTGTCTTTTGTCTACCAACTATAAATTTATAATCTACTCGAATACGGCTAGATATGCCGTTTTGAATCCAAATTAACCAAACTTGATTTGATCTTTTCTATACCTTCGGTTTTTTGATCGATTTAGAGACGAGAAAAAAACACCGCAACAATTATAGTTTTCTCGGTAAAATAAGTTCAAGGCATTTTCGATGCCACAGATACTCAACCAAACCGAAAATGCTGAGAAACTTTGTCAAACCACGGATGTTTCACATTTTGAATAGAATATAAAAATTGATTTATGGCCCAATCGCTAAGCCAATCGACTGTAGCGTCAAAAATTGAATGGTTCCGCACAATTTTGATGTTTAATGAATCCAATTCATCTATGACGTGAATATTGAAAATTTACATTTTTGTCCTATTTCTTTTTGGTTCTCCCGCTCTCTATCTCACGATCTCCTTATTTAGAGAGAACATTTGTATGAAAACACCTTTTTCGATAAAATGTTGCCATTATTACCAGTATCGTGGTAAATAATTTTCTTCATTATACGATATGGTTTCGGTTCAGCTGCTTACGGGCCCCGAAAAACTCTTAAGATGCTAAGTAAATATGCATACGAGTGGAGAAAAGTAAAGTGCTTCTTGCATTTTATCGAGCTACGAAGGAAAAACCTCATGCCATTTAATATGGGCTTGCGGTTAGTTGCTTTCCAAATAAATGCTTTAATCATAGATTTATGATTTGGGACCTTTTTAAACGCAGATAAATTTCGCAGAGCATATTTACATTTTTTGGACCGACAACGCAAAAGCGCACACCAATGTGCGATTGTGAAAATTTGGTGTGTGAGCGCCACCATGAAATGCACTAATGTTGCAATTTGCAATTCGCATCGTTTGTATTTATTATTATTGTCATTATTTTCGTTGCAAACCACGATTATTGCTATTTGCATAATAAAATAGAGTCGGAGAGTCAGTACGCACAGTAGCTGATGCCGCCAACAAAGGCGATTAAAAACATTGTTTGAAGAATTAAAAGACATAATATTAAAAGCGGCTGCTGCTGCTGCTGCTGCATCCAGAAGAAACCGAATGCATACATATATTTTATCGCATCACGGCTATGAAGAATATAAAATTGCGCCTTTTCCCGTATAATCAAGTGCATTGCAATGGTGTAAGGTGAGCGGATTGTTTGCGTAGATTTCAAGCCAAATGCGCAATGCCCATTTCGAATCTAAGCGACGAAGATAACGCCCAGTATGACCGTTCGTTTATAATGTCATAAAATGTATATGATAAAACTACTCCGTTTTATTATCCGGAAAGTTATAACTTTCGGCAAAGTTCCATGAACTCGATACCTTTAAATCTTAATTAATGCGCCCATATATTTAATGTCCTGTTTATTCATATTGCTCAGTAGGAGCTATCCAGAGCTCTGTGTAAGGCAAGCAATCGTAAAAAAACAATCTTATTCCGTACGGAGGCATTCGGATTGGACATTTTCTTGGTGCACGGAAAACACTTTGAATCTTTGCAAATTGCAATCAAAGTGAGTAGTCAGCACTACTATGAAATGTGTTGTGGTACTTTTTTCTTTCTTATTTTACAGTTTTCTACTCATAATTACTTTACAAATTATTGCATTTTTATGCATGAACCGCATAATTTCTTCGTCCATTTCAATTAACCATCGAACGAACAAATTTCGTAAAAACAAAAATTTCATTTGTCTTAGTTGGTGCAATTTCAAAATCGACCTGTTTTAAAACGCCGAGATTCAGCTGCGCCCACCGAATAAAGATGTGGATCTCACGACAGACACAAATTTGAATGCTCCATCGAATCGTTTAATAAATTGAATATGTGTTCGGGAATTTCATAGACGGAAAATGGAAAATTCACAGTTGAACACACATTCACTTCGCAGCGAGTGTTTCGTTTTGGTTTTTTTAAGGCAAAGTAAGCGATATAAAAGAGGTGTTCCTAAATCAATTTTTATCTAAATTAAATCATTTGCTTTTTTTCCTGGATTTTCCAATCGACAAAAAAATGCTCGTGTTTCGCAATATTTTTCCGGTATTGAGAAAGGATAAACATAAATCCGGAAACCGATATTCAAAGAACGAGAATTTCTACCTTTTTCTCCGATGATTACATTTCGCACAGCCGAACGGAAACCGTATTGTAGCATGTGTTGTGAGAATGCCATAGATTTTAAATGCTTTAAAATCGGTCATATTTTTATGTGTTCGAATCAATTACAGTTTTCTTTGGTGTTTATTTTTATTTAGTTAAACAATTGCTATTGCTGCAAAGGCAGATGGGAAACATAACGAAAAAAACCAGTATTGTATATAAGAAAATTTTTTAAAAGACTCTTTTTTTTCAAATGTATCTTAATAAAAATAAAAGCAGTTGGAATTTAAATGGAAAAATAAAGAAAAAAATATGGTAAAGGCATTTAATCCGTCAATGCGATGCGTCTTATATTTCCTTTTCTCCCTTACACTGCGCTACATTCGAAGACTCGTCGCCATAGCATTAATAAATAATCAACGTCAGTTACTCGAGAGTTTATATTGTGAGTGTGTGTATGTATTGTATTGTATTGTGTATATGTATTTCTTCGTCTTATCCTTGATGTATCGTATTGATTCCCAAAGTACATGCTCTTTGGGAAAATGCAGAAGGGGTAACGTTCTGAGATGTATACAAGAGAAGAGAAAAAAAATATCGCCTTCTGTGCTGCGTCTCGAATTAAACATCGATCGAATACATCAATCTGATGGAGTCAGAGAAAATGTATATCTTGGTGTTGGGGAGGGCAAGAAACTTGTACAAAAAAAATTGATGTTGAATAAAAAGCAACTATCGTTAAAATCAAATTCAGCATTTGAATGAAACTGAAAGAAAAAAAACTGAACGAAAAAAAAAACAAAAATAAACATGCGAAAAAGCCAAAAAACCGATTTCAGAAAAATGAAACGAAAAAAAACAGCAACAAAAGAGCACAAAATCGGAGTGAGAGTAAAGCGGAAAAAAATGTGCGGCTGCGACCCGAAAAAGAAACCAGAGAGGAGATATGGTGGCAGCCGAAGAGTGGAATAATATCAGTCTGTAGACATTTTAAAGCTGCCGATGTGCTACTGTTCAAGAAAGAAAATTATAATGTGTGTGATTACGTTGCGACTGGTTTCGTTTCACAGTCGAATCCGTTTATAGTTTGCGAATCAGTTGTGTGCTTGGTGTGCCGAGATGATTGCCGACTATTGCGTTGCTGCTGCTACGAGAGAACGAACGAACGAACGAACCGACCGACCGACCGAAGCGAGCGATGCGAGTTGTATAGTTGTTGTGCTTTCTGAACTGTACTGAACTAGTAACGAGCACAATTATAAAGCCCAACCCAAAAATCTAACATTTTAGCATGGGCGTAGTTATTGCGCGCACAGCTGTCTCAACGATATGAATCGCGCGTCGTCTGTTTATGTTCTTCTGGCTGCACTCAAACTCGCACACAATCAACATGTTTTGAAGCCCGAATGATTTGCTCGTCTCCGACAAGCGACGTTTTATATTTTATACTCTGTCGACACACAGTGAGCAGCACACAACACAGTGACGTCAAGTGGAAAGTTGGAGTAGAGAGAGAGAAGAGCAGAGCGCAGTACAGTACAACACAGCAGCAGCAGCGGTAGTATGAGGAGCGAGAACGAAGGCAAAAGCAAATACACAAACACTCTGGAATAATAATGAAAAAAAGGGAGAGAAAAAAAATCGAGCGTATGGTAGCGCATAACGAGTCGAGATTCAGTGTCAGTTTGCGCAAAAAAGAGTACCGAACCGTTCGTCATACGCAAAACCCATTCCGATTTTCAATTTGAACTGGCACCAGAGAATTGAATATTATGTGTGCGCGTCGCTCTGTACTCTCCATACACACGGGCTCCTGTGTGTATACACACAGAGACTGTGTGTGATGTGGTGTGTGCATATGCATGGCACATAACGAATGGTGAAATGATTTTCTGCCTCAGCGCATCGCTCACACGCCAGCCAAGCGTTCCCATTCGTCGTTGGCTTTTCCGCAAATGCAAGTGTTTGTTATTCGTTGTGACGACTGATTGAGTGATCCGTGGATGTATTGGTGGGGCAACTGGTTTTTGAAGAATGATTGACAGCCCGAGAGCAGCGTACGCGACGCGGCAAGAGATACGGAAAGCAAGCGGCAACGGAATCGCATTGCAGTGACAATAAAAGAGAGAAACCGAGTATTCCGGAGAGCAAACGAAATTGTTTGGATGGCGTAAACAGAAGTGAGGTTATACACATACGGAATGTATACAGCGTACACGGTCGTTGTTGTTGCTGCTGCTAGTCTGAGTGATTTATGTTTATGTTTCTTTTTATTGATTTTTATTTCAGAATATTTTCTATTTCTTAGGGTTTCTGTTTGCGTTAGCACAAATTGTTATATAATCCAAATGAACATAGCAGCCACATAGCTTCAGTTCAACAGAAATCCAACGAAATATCCGTTGAATTGATTTTTATAGGAATTTACACACAGATGTTATTTTCAAAAAAAATTAGCTAAACTTTCTACGAATCAAATGCATCTAAATGTCTAGCACTTTCAAAATGATTTAACCACAAGTACATACCATATTTATAAGTGAAGATCGTACGAAATTTGGGAATTTATTAAAAAATATTCTTAGTACACTGAGAATCTGACAGCCGTACACACAACAAACTCATAAATAACTAGCTCTGTTTGTTGTATTCCTCTCTCGTTATTTTGACGTACGGTTGAACGTGCTCTCTCACCAATACGTTTTCGCGCCAATAGACGCAACGAAACCGTTGCTGCTCATGCATACGGCTCTGCGTGTACGTAAAGAAAATACGGTTCGAGGTATTGTTTGATGTACAGTGCGTCAAAAAACGCAATTTTGTTTTCTCTGATTCTGGTTTTCGGTCTCTCATTTACAGATTTGCATGTGTATAATCCAATAACTCCGGTTGTGATATTGTGTACAGGGAGCATCTTTGCAATGGCTCAAGCCCTATAATATCACAAAACATAGAAATGGGAAAACCTTGTCGCATAGACAACGATTTTCAACATTATTGTCTTCTACTCGTTTAACTGCTACTGCTGCTACTGCCATCCACTTTCATGTACTGTCAAACGTTTTTCGGTCCGTTTGCTCAATGTGTGTACTCTCAATGTACATAGCTTTGGTTTTGATGCGCTCAGAAAATGTAGCATTTTCTCTATATCTCTCTCTGTATGTGACCGATTAATAGCCGATGATTTTCCGAAAATGTAATATGAAGAGAGGTGGATTTATAAGAAGACTCCACCTATCTGTCATTAATATGACATGTTAAACAAGAAGTTGACAGCTTTTGCACACTGTTTCGTGTATGTCTCTTCGGTGTGTGTGTGTGTGTGTGCGTGCATGTGCTGTGTATGTGCGTATTGGCTTTCGTCTGTTATGTGCACGTTTATGCGAACCGTTGCACATTGTCCCTCTTCTCTTCTCGTCATTTGTTTTTTTCTTGTTTGCCTCGCTACGGTGATACGGCAGTGATCTTTTCATTCATCCATTTATTTTGTGCACTTTTGCACACACAAACAGCCCACAAAAACGAACCGAAATATTACTTGTATTGTGTAATGCAGACTATAAAACTCATCAAAATGATCCCCCGAAATACTTGATGAGTTTTTCTGCATGAGATTTGCGAGATATGGATAAAACTTTCGGTTTATTCCCTTTGGTCGTGTGTGTGTGTGTGTGTCCGTGTCTGTTTCACCCCGCATTTTTAGTGGTGCATGCACAGCATAACTAATTTCTGTTGCCTTCTTATTATTCGCCAAATAAGATACTTGCGCTCACCCACCCCCAAACTGACACATCGAACACACCAGAAAAGTAGAATAAACAACATCAATTTTTCCAAATGAAATTTCTTTTTATTGCCACCAACAATTATTTTCGACTTTACTTCTTTTTTTCTCGTTTTCCCGTTCTTCTTCTTCTTCGATTCGCTTACCCATATCCAATTAGATAAATTCATTCGTGTTGTTGCACTCCTGGCCATTTCAAATGGTTTGCTTAACGATAACTTCGGGTACTTTTGTGTTATTTTGCATAATTTCTGAATTCACAGCGAGAGAACATGCATTCATTCTACCTGTTTGGAATTCGTTTTCGCTTTTTTTATGTTCGACACTCATTTTGCATTTATTTTCGGAATTGTCTTTGAATATTTGAAATTGTAAACTCGAAGAAAACCTAAACCAATTAGAGCAAATAAAAATTAAATGCACACCATTTGTAAATGGACTTTGTTTTTCCGAAATAGTTTCATTTCCCGTTTTTTGCCATGAGCTCGTGACTATTATTACATTCAATACGGAATGCAAAGAGAGAGAGAGAGAGAGAGGGAGAGAGAAAGAGGAAAAAACGCAACAAACGAACGAAATTTTGCATTTCATTTAATATAATTAGAGAAGATTGCTAATTGGAAAGATGAAATGGTGGGGCCAGTGTGTGGAGCGACTTTGAGACTATCAATTCGATGGCTCATTGAACGAAAACAGTGCGATATCAAATTAAAATCAAATGACTTGTATGCACGTAAGTATTTTGGTGTGTACAACAACAAAAAATTTCTGTCGAAAACACCTTTCGCGGTTTTTTAAACTGGGAATTAGATGCATTATGAATAAGTATATTTCTGTGGTTCAAGGTTTAACAAAAAAAATGGAAAGTTCGAAAGAATTGAAAAATTTGAAGAAAACGTAATGTCGACAATCAAATATGCCAAAAATTATTTCAAATATCTTCTTCACTTGGTCTGGGGTATTTCGCTATACGACTAAGACTTTTGCTACATAACTTTTCATCGTAGAGAAGTGTCTTTCTCCTTCATTTCAATGCGTATTGGTATGTATGCTGTCTAGCCTAATGAAAACGTAAATGTTCTATTCAATAAACAACATGCTTTTCATACCCCTAAACAGAGTATTCTCTCCATGGTCGCAAGGAATTTCCAGCATTCGTATGAATCGAATGCCAGTTTCCCCTCATACGAGAGTGCAACCGAACGATGAAACTGGAAAATATATCCAAAGTATACAAATCTCCCAATACATATGCAATCGAAGCGCGTGTCTCTCTGTCTCTCTTCTGAATTGATTTGGCTTTTTGCCGGTTTCTCCTCCGAATCAGCATGTTTGCAGGCGAAGACATGTTTTTCGTTCGCTCTCGCTCTTTCTCTCTTTGCATGTCAAAACACAACCGTACCGAATCGGCCGAATAGCAGAACTGGCTGTCGGTTATATACTTTAGCACGATGCGATCGTTTGAGAGAAAAATCTGTGCCTCGGTGCGCGTTTTTGTGCCGATGATTTGAGCGACATGTTCAAGCGTTTCTACACAAGCTGTGTCCATTTTTGCCTCGTTTGTGTGCATGTATTGAAGCATATCGATATCGTTTAGCGGGTGTTCGTTCAATGTTCACTACAATAATCGGTTGCTTGCATGCGTTCGATTTTGTTTCTTTTTTTCTTTCATCCGTTCCTCCGTTGTACTTCTTCTGTTTTGATGATCACGATTCTTCTCTTTTTCGCCCCAGACGATACAGTTCACGGCGGCTTATAAACTCGATGCGCGTTCAACTGGCTGTAAATGTGTGTGCATTGGACGCAAAAAATAAACAGAAAATACAATTTCTTCTTGTATCCATCGTACGTTTGCGTTTCGGTCAGTGTATGTTGTTTTGTCGGTTCGATTCGATTCGTTTTGTTCTCATGTCGATAGCGAGCAAATGAGACTGTTGTCGCTTTCGACTGTCATCGTGGTTACGCGTTTGTTGTCATCGTTTTGGTGTGCGAGTCGCAGCTGGATTGTCGTGTGTTATGCCATTTTATTCGGCTTCGATTGTGTGTGCCTGTGTATGGTTTTTTTGTTTGCTCTCGCTCTCTCTCTGTCTCGCTGCCAACACACACTGGTGGAACATATGCAAGATACTGATACTCAACAAACGGAACGTGTGTATACATCGATTCACGATGTTGTCGTTGCCGTCGTCGCTATCTAACAAGAAATTCCGTTTGGGTATTTAGTCACTCAATGTAATGTCTATAAGTTGGTAGACTTTTACCCCGAAATTCGCATACACATTCTCTATCGACAAAAAGCTTGTGCCGCAACCGAATAGCAATACCCATTTCGGATGGTGTGCATCAGTGTTGGTGACGCGTAATATACTCACTCGATTTCACATAAATACACACGGAAACACACACAGGCACACACACACACACTCTGTGTCGCATGTACATTGAGTAAAAATTCTTCTATGGAAAAATATTAATAACAATAATAACAATTTATAGAGACCATCGAAAAGGAATTCGTACATAGATTGTGACGTGAACATTTTGTGCACAATGCATTTTTTGATGCGCTTGCTATTTTCATCATTTTAACCGGAAAAAATGCTCAACATCGCAGTTTAAACGAAATAAACAATAATTTAAACACATTTTCTGTTATTTTCAACAATATTTTCATCGTTTTTTTTTTGTCGCAGCATAGTGTCAGTTCAATCGAAAATTGTGCAAATATTGAATGTTTGTGACGTGCAAGGAAAACTCGAATTCAAAATTGGTGACGTGCAAAATATTCGTTTAAAATCGTGTGACAATTTGAGTTTTCGTAAATAAAATCTGATCAATAAGCAAACTTAATGAACGTGTGTTTACATATTGTAATCGGCCGAGTAAAAACAGTTTGTGAAACGAATCGAATGATGAAAAAGTGACGTTTATTGAATATTTCAAAGCGGCTTTCATTTGATTGTGGGTGCATCACACAAAACGATTGAATAATTCCGAAAAAATACAAGAATTTTACTTTGACGTACATGCAAAGTGCAACTTGCAATTGCTTCAATAAACGAAGTGGCAAAACAATGAATAAAACGACAGCAAAACATCTCTGAACCTAAGCCAAGAACGTTTCTCTTAACGCTACAAAAATAGCACAGTTGAAATAGGTTTTTTTTGTTGCCTCAACAAATCTAAATATATTCACACACTGAGATTAAAAGCGATTTAAGTAGGCGGTGACTTATTTGCACACATGGTTAATCACGGCTTGTCGCGCTTCAACAAGACCTCTCCGACGAAATTTTACCAAAACAATAATAAAGCGATTATAACCAAATCGCGGCAACAAAAATGAGATGTGAACATTCTTAAAATAGCTTGTTAATTTCAATCAAAAAAGGAAATTTTGAGTAACAAAAACGGCGGACACGTGTGAACGTTTGCAATAATCGGTAAAATCGTGAAATCTGTGCGATGCATCGATTGACCCGTTGATATTGGTAATTCACTGCGAAGTGAAATTCATTGACTAAGAAAGAGAGGAGAAGGCTCAACGAATTCAATGAAATCTACAAATTGTGTGTTTTTTGACGTTTCGATCGAAGAGAAATCGCACAAAAAGCCTCACATCAATCCGTCGACTGGTGATGCAGAAAAAAGCTAAAGAATTTTATAAATAAATGAATGAACAATAAATTTAAATGAATTATTAACATGTTAATAGATAAATAAGAGAGCCAAGAAAAGACTCAGTGATTGAGTGAAGGGTGAACAGCTATTTATTTTGCATTGCCCGATTCAGTTTTGCAATAATCCACAGAAATTGTGTTGTAGAACAAGCAAATTCATAAACACACAACGATTCGCAAAAATTCGCCGCTAACAATTCCAAAACAACAAACAAAGCTGCAGCAACAACAACAGCAGCAGCAGCAACAAACGTGAAATTCATTAAACGAATTAAAATTTCGCAGAATAAAAATGCGGCGCGAGCGCGTTCGATGAAAATAAAAACATTATAAATCACTAATTCAATCGAATTTGACTGTTGTTTGCGTTTTGCCTGTTACGTTTGTCACTCAATATTCACAAAAATCGAGAGCGTCATTGTTTGCGCATTTCAACACACCAAGCCAGATTCAAGCGACTCGAAAAGTTTATTCTCTCACTCACTCGCAACAATCAAACAAATAAAAAGACAAAGTGAATAAATAAACCCGCGACTGGGTACACAATAAACCAATTTTTGACGTATATGAACGAGAAATTTGGCAATAATTTGTCTACATTGACGAAAGCCACCGCTTGGGTGAAGAATCCGGTTTCAAGACTTGAAATTCACCAAGGTAAGTAACGAAGTTCCATGAAATATGTGCGGCACCAAAATCAAATCAATATATTCATTTGGTTGCAATGGAGCTGTGTGTATCTGATTATTACTTGTATGTTTCAATTTCTTTGATTGGTGCATGCGAATGACCTCAATCGTTGCGATGAAATAATTCAACGGCAAACATTTTGAGGCCGACGAAACGAACTCGTCGAAATTGATCCGCGCGCCTCAATCTTGAGTAATCGCAATGATATTTAGATCAAGCGCAATAACCAATAAATAACATAATCAATTCGATTTTGATATCATATGTCTATTTCGGTATATAATCCAATAGCGATTGCATAGAAGTGTTGTGTGTGTATGTTTCGAGCCAAATTTTCATTCTCACTCAATAGATATACATTTTTTTTTTAAACATTTTGAATTTGATTTATTATCATGAACCACATTTTGAACATTTTATCTGAGAAATGTTTTTGGTTTTTTTTCTCTGCTTCTCTCGTACGTTCCACGCAATTTGAATGTCGAGCGCAAAGCGAAAAGAGACCGAGAGTGAATATCACTTTGAAAAAGTAAAACGGTTGGCGCCATCAAAGCAAATCGATTTAAACGATACACACGACACACTCAAACACTTGTTTTGCATTTACAACTACTTAGTCGGAGAGCAATACTTTGGTGGTGTTTTTTTTTGCTTCGATCACACTGGTGATTTATTTGGTTTCTAACTCCGAATGAATTGATCCATTTGAAATGTTTCGGCGATTGGTATACAACTTTCCATTGGTGGCTAAGTGAAATCTGATCGATTAGAAATTGTTTTTTTTTTTTCAAGAAAATATACAAACATAATTTATATTACATTGAAAAAATTGGAAGTGTGGCTAATATCGGTAGAATGGGTGAGAAAAATGAATCGAGTTAAGTTGAATTGAGTATTGAGTGCCGATGCATATATACCATTTAGTAAACACAATTTCCATTTAATTGTACCGTTTTTACATCTCGAAAAAAAAATCTTGCGATGAAATCAATCTCGCCTTCACCGTTCAATGAATGTTTTATGCAGCAGATCATTATTCAAAGCAATAAAAATAAAATCGGTGTGAGACTGACTGAGAGTGTTTGCAAAACACATATATTCGAAAGCCAGTCTCAACGAATATCATTCAATTGCATAATTAGTAAATACGTTTTTATTTTAAATCAATAAACTCATGGCTTGGAACTGTGTGGTGTGGCTCAGTAGCAACAGCAGTAAGACGTTTTCATCCAATGTTGTCGGACTCACAAGTCAAGGCAGTAGTAGCCATATTATTTTCCAATAAATTTCATGGTGTACATCTGCATATGAAGCCATATATACGCAATGAGCACACAGAGGGTGACAGAGAGAGAGAGACGCACACACATCCTCATACCCAATCGATTACACTAAAGACAATCATAAATTTTAACCGAACCAATATTTAAAGGCACTCCGAAGCCAAAACGTTGAAACTTCTTCATTGCTTTGGTTGGTCACTAAATGGCGATAATAATAATAATAACAGCTACAATAACAGCAACAGTAACACACGAAGAAGGCACTACATTTTTCTCTCTTTTTCTTTCGAAGTGCCTCTGTGTGTGTGTATGCTGTAGACAGTGTTCGTGCCGTGTCGATGTTCGAGTCTCTTTGCATTCGATATTCGTTCGTTCACACAGCAATCAATTGTTGCGTATGGTTCTTTGGCGTGCTGGTTACACAATTGAATCCCGAACAACTATTTTCTTATGAACTGACCGGAATGTAGCAAACAGCAAAAATCCTAGCGTGAAAAAGAATCGAAACTCAAAAAGACAGGCGAATTGAAAGGGAAGACGAAGAAGAAACGAAAAAATTCACCAGCAACAACAGTTGCCGAATCTTACGTTCGCATACAAAAGGCACACGAAACGAATTTCCCAAAAAGAACGGCAAGAGTAAAAGTAGATAAGCAAGCATTTGCCATAGATAGAAGAAATGAACAAGGCCATGGAATGGCATCGATGCCCCCATTGTACCAAGTGGTGAATTTCAAAAGAAAATCTCCGCACAAACACACACACACACACATCCATTGACGGTAAACGGCGAGAGTTTCATATGGCAGAAAAGTTCACATGCTATGCTATTCGAACACCAGAGAAAAAAGACAGAGTCACAAGCCAAATTCAAATGGAACAAGTCGTTATGAAATTGTATATCGGCAAAACAAAATGTAAATATGATGGTGCCAAACGTCGAAAAGTAACATATTTTCGTTGTTAAGTTGCCGATGCTGAGATTTGTTCTTTCTGCAAGATATTGCATGAGCATATGCTAACGTGTTTATACAACAATGAATGGTTGAAGGTAAGGCGAGTAAGGAAGAGAATGAGTGAGTGTAAGAGAAAGCATGAGAATGTCATGGAGAGTGGCTGATTCCAATTTGTTGAATGTGCGTGCACACTTCGAACACTCCGCATGTTGTACGATTATAACATATGCTCAAGCAGTTTCGTTGCAGCTCTCAAACAGATAGTTAGTGTCAAAATGAAAATCTTGCAAAATGGAATAAAATTATGACAAGAAAACGAGTGGACTTTTTGAAATACAAATCGAGAATCTTTCAATTTTTTCAATAAAATCCATTTTTTACGTTCCTTGTTTGAACTTTTGATCGAAATTACCTTTTATTATAACCGTCAATATGAATTTTCCACAATTTACGGTCTTTGGTTTATTGTTGCAGATTGCATGACTCGTTTTATACCGACAATTCTACATATCTATCGTGTCGTGTAATTATTTTAAATTTGCGTGACAGTTCATGTTTGATTTGTATAAATTATTTGATTTGTCAATTCCTTTCCTTTCTTTCCTTCCCAATTCCATTTTCCGTTTACATTTCTTTCGTCTCTCAAAACCAAAACAAGCTAATTTCAGTCTATTTTGGTATGATTTGAATGGAAATATAGATTGAATTAGTTTTGAACCGGAAATCGGATCTGGTGAAATAAAAAATGCATATGTGATTGAAATAAAACGTACACATTTTGATGTGTAGAAAAATGTTTGAAGCTGGAAATTGCGTAATCGTCAACAAGCAAAACGGAACAACAAACAACAGCACCACCATTCACTACACATCGCTAAATAATTCATAAAATTCTACCAAATGACATGTTTTATATCCAATTTTATGACTTCTGTCAACCGTTCCTTGTATTTTCAACAAAAACGACATGCGAGCAAATTGATTGTATGATTGACCAAATATTTCGTGTTCCTTTTCAGAGGAAAAAAAAGCCTCATAAAATGCTGAAATGGTTCGTCTCCAACCTGACTTGGCTCGGGAGAGTGAATAGTAGGGATTGTGCTGCGATGTATTTACAAGGCGCTCGTTGCTCAAGTGTATTCTCTGCTCACTATTCAACGATACTTGATGTGCATGTTTGTAGCACAAACAAGTACCGTTTCGATTTATAAATAATGTTTCGGCTCTTTGCAATTGCGGCGCGCATATTATTCATTCCAAAAAATATTATGGCTATTACGAGTGAATAAATTGCGCGCGTTGTCATTCGAAATTGATGATCCGAAAGCGTTGTTGATTTTATTTGTTTCGGTTTTACGGTCGGTTTTCTTACACACTTCGTGCGAGGAAATCGGGTTGTGCTGATCCATTTTCAATATAGATTCCCAGTTGGTTCAGTTAATCTGACTGACAAATTGATCATAAACCCACTTATTATATGTGAAGAAATCGGTTTGGTCAACGCGCCATACGTCTCTTCAAACATAATTACCCAGTGAACTGATGCAAAAATGGCAGCATTTGCCAATTGTGCAATCACATTTCTGTCTCCTAATTGCGAGACCAACGAGCGCAAGCGACAACTGAAACAAGTGTGTGAGCGTTAAAATGTTGAAGTGCAATGACAGTGATTACAGAATGAATGCATCGAGAAAAAAAAACCAGTTTTTATTTTCGAATTTATTAGAAAAATCACTGCTATTTGCATTTAAGCTGTCCGCGGCAACGTAAAACAGGCACACCGAGGAATAGAAACGAAAATGAAAATGACAATGTCTCAACAAATGAGTCATAAGATTTAGCAAATCACTTTCAATGTTCCAGCCATTTTTATCTCGTGCGAAATCGTCAATAGTCATAAAACGTCGGTACTTCCATCGGTTTTAATTAGAAACCAAAAGTAGAAGAATTTTTCCGGTTTTTCTTTTCTTCTTCGTAAATTTCGTTCGTTGGATAAACTTTTAATGCGTTCAATTAAAAATTTAACGAATTGAATTGTAACGAATGCATGAAGTTCATAGCATTTTAATGTCCAAGAAATTATAATGCGGCAAATATCTCTCCTAAATATTCAGGATCGTACCATGCAAAAGTCTCGGCGTTCTCGGCAGCGAGAGCTGTGCCGAGACGAGAAAATATTATATCTGGTTTTATTTCAATCTGCAGTAATTTAGTATTAGCTATTATTATAAAGTGCTAAGGGGAAGTTTTGACTTTGCCGTTGATGTTTTTCGTTTCGATATTGCTGTGTACTGTGTATACTGTACTCTCTTGGCCGAGAGTGAGAGAGAGAGAATTCGTAATTGGCATCGTATGCAGTTCTTCTGGAAGTGTTGATGGTGGCTTTTCGGTTGTCAGGTCGAGCTGTTGACGGTGTAGAGCGGCAAGAAGCTTCTCGCGTTGCGCTTTTTTTCATTAGATATGACGGTTCAGCCACTCATAAAGTCTTATTTTATATTACAAATGGGAAACATAAAGAAGCGAATTGTTAGACAGTTAAATTAAAATGAGCGAAAAGAGCACGAATAAAACACAACAAATTTCCAGAATAAAAAAACAAACGCGCTGGAAATTGGCGTACGATTTCACAAAGGCGAATTGTGAAATGAATTTTCCAGGCCAGACCAACGAGAGAGAACAATTCAACAATTATTTAAGAATATTATTCTCCATTCTTTCAGCGGGTGGC